TTTTGAGACAGAGTCTCGCTCTGTGCTCCCAGGTAGAGTGCAGTGCCCGGACTCTCAGCTCACCTGCAAGCTCCGCCTCGGTGGTTCACGCCATTTCTCCTGCCTCAGTCTCCGAAGCTGACTACAGGCACCACCACCACGCCACTCATAAATAAAAAATCACTCTGGTAGGCAGCTCTTATTTCTCATTCTTGTCCCCAGGCCAGCCTCTTGCAGCCCCCATTTTGTTCTCTTCTGTTCCTATCTCCTTACTAATTTTCTGCAGACGGTCAAGCAGACCACCATAGAATCTACTTTTGAATCTTTCATTTTATTTTATTTTATTTTATTTTATTTTATTTTATTTTATTTTATTTTATTTTATTTGAGACAGGGTCTTGCTCTGTCACCAAGGTTGGAGTGCAGTGATGCAATCTTGTCTCACTGAAACCTCAACCTCTCAAGCTCAAGTGACCCTCCCACCTCAGCCTCCTGAGGACCATAGGTGTGTGCCACCTTGCCCAGATAATTTTTGTATTTTTTGTAGAGACAAGGCTTTGCCATGTTGTCCAGGCTGGTCCTGAACTCCTGGACTCAAGTGATTATCCCACCTCAGCCTCCCAAAGTGTTGGGATTACAGGTGTCAGCCACCATGCATGGCCTAGAATATTTTTTAAAACAAGAAGGGCCTAGAATTCTACAAGAAAATATACAGACACTAACTGTTCAGAGGCCATTGCACTTATTTCTATTTTTACTTTTTAAAAATGTTTTTCAGGGTGCTACAGTGGCTCCTGCCTATAATCCCAACACTTTGGGAGGCTGAGGTGGGAAGATCACTTGAAGCCAGAAGTTCAAGTCCAGCTTCTATAAAAAACCTCTATAACAATGTTTTTAAAATTTACAAAGCAAGACCTTGTCTCTACAAAAAAAATTAAAAATAAAAAAGGTAGCTGGATGTGGTGGTGTACACCTGTGGTCCCAGCTACTTGGGAGACTAAGGCAGGAGGATTGCTTGAGGCTAGGAGTTTGAGGCTGAGTGAACCTTTGAGTGGGCCACTGCCCACTCCAGCCTGGGTGGCATAGTGAGACCCTCTTTTCCTTTTCCTTTTTTCTTTCCTTCCTTCCTTCCTTCCTTCCTTCCTTCCCTCCGTCTTTCTTTCCCTCTTTCCCCCCTCCCCTCCCCTTCCTTCCCCTCCACTCCCCTCCCCTCCCCTCTCCTCTCCTCTCCTTTCGTTCTTTGACAGAGTCTGCCTCCATCACCCACACTGGAATGCGGTAGTGTGATCGCAGCTTACTGCAACCTCAGCCTTAGACTCTCCTGCCTCAGGTTCCCAAGTAACTGGGACTACATATGTGCACCATCACGCCCGGCTACTTTTTGTATTTTTATTAGAGATGGGGCTTAGTTATGTTGTCCAGACTGGTTGTGAACTCCTGACCTCAAGTGATCCACCCACCTTGGTCTCCCAACGTGCTGGGATTACAGACATGAGTGACCATGCCTGGCCAAGACCCTGTTTCAAAAAAACAAAAATGTATTCCAGATAGGTGGGTTAACCAGAATGCTGGGTTATTCAAATAAATTTGGTAAACTTATTCAAAGCTGAATCCTAATTCAATTGCCCAATGACCTCTGACCTTTTAGATATGTGTGGATGGTGGATTTTTAGATTTTTTTTCAAGTAAAATAACAGTTTGTTTGCCTATTTTGCTTCAGGGCTGGACTAAAAACTCCTTGGTCGCAGTTGATTCCTCGTTACTTCAAGCCTTCCCACCTCCGAAGCGGTGTTGTGTTTGGCTATTTAGTTTTTCTTCTTTATTTTTCTTGTCCTTTGCTTGTTCTTCCTTGCTGTGGTTCCACCAGGCTGGATAACAGTGGCGCGGTGCTGGCTTCAATGCAACCGTCCCCTGCTGGTTTCAAGTGAGTCTCCTGCCTCGGAGCCTCCCGCAGAGCTTGGCGACCACAGGCTGGTGCCACTACGCCAGCTTATATTTTTGTATTTTCAGTAAGGCGGGTTTTCACCATGTTGGGCTCAGGATGGGTCTCGAATCTGCGGTTTGACCTCCCTGATCGCCTGGCCCTCGACCTCGCAAAGTGCTGGGCAAATACAGGCGCCGAGCCACCAGGTGCCTCGCATTTTGGTGATGTCGCTTTGGAGATGGAGGTTGGTTGCCTCTTGTTGCCGCAGGTTGATGCAATTGGGCGCGCGGTCCACGCTCCGGGGGCTTCAAATGATTCTCCTTGCCACATTCCTCCCCGAAGTAACTCGGGATTGAGCAGGTCGGGTGGCCCCCACCGGGGATGACCCGGCCTAATTTGTAGTTTTTTAGGTAGAGATAGGGTTTCACCGATGTTGGCCAGGCTGCTTCTTCGGAACTGACTTGACCTCAAGTGATCCGGCCTGCCCTGCCTCCCAAGTGCTGGGATTACAGGCCGTGAGCCACGGTGCCTGGCCAGCCCTGACTTTAAATTGATAGAGCACACACACCTTCTATCTTAGAAATCTCAAAGAAGGCTGAGCACGGTGGCTCACGCCTGTAATCCCAGCACTTTTGGGAGGCCGAGGCAGGTGGGCGCACGACTGTCTGAGGTCGGGAGTTTGAGACCAGCCTGGCCAACATGGTAAACCCCATCTTTACTGAAAATACAAAAATTAGCCAGGTGTGGTGGCACACGTCTGTAATCCCAGCTATTT